GTACGTGACCCCTCTCTACAGAGTTACCATCTCTATTGCTATGATGGCGATTGTCTCGTACTGGCTGCTGGCTGTGAAGCTGGCTGGCTGGCTGGCTGTGGCCTGCGTGGCCACAGATGGTGATGCAATTTACCCGAATGTTTGACAGATTTCCTTAAGATGTTCCACCAGTAAATCTTATCGTGAATATCTCGGCGAAATGGATGCATAACTTTTTGTTTTCCTCGTGCGGTTATAAGTCTTCTTCCGGTCATAAACACTGCCGGGCGATGTGAACCTCATTAACGTTTCAAGTAATCATTAGATGTGGTTAACACCAATGTATATATAGCATGCACTGTTGCCACTGCTAATCGTTCTGGGGTGTCAATTGCTGGTGTACGGTTTTCTATAGCGCGTATGATGTCCAGCTTATTGGGGAGGGGGGGGGGGATAAGGCATTTCCTGAAAGCCATGTGTGCCACCGTAGTGGGGACATGTTGCCAGACTTCACAGAATTTTAGCATCTGTGATGAGACCGGAGTTTTTGCCTCATGATGGGGTACGTCTATTACCATATGTTAACCTGATGTCATGGACTGACTCGGAATATCAGATGTGCTGTTTAGTCGCAAAGCTTAGGCAATGCTGCCGGTTTCTGTTTCTTTATGCTTTCTGAAATGCTTTGGTTGGGATCTTCTCTCGGTGTGTTGTACCGCCATGTCACGGCCCCTCGGCCGGCAAGTTTGGAAATGGCTGGTGCGTACTACCAGTTACCAGATCCCTCAAAAAAGAGACAAGTCGCCCTCGGTCGGTCAGACTGTAAGAGTGCAGAAGGCAGCCACCCGGGATGAACAGTGTCGGAAATTTGGAGTTTCGCGACGTTTTCTACCCAGAGACATTTTACGTTCCATGGACTGTGCACTGACAACAACAAAAAGTGAGCTCTTAGTGAGCATTATAGGATGTAAATGACCCTGTCCCTAACCATTAACAGTACCGTGTAACCCACCACCCACCACTGAGAGTGGGATGCTGCAGGCGGACTACGATGAAAACTAAGCATTACTTACCTAGTGCTTCCTTTCAATGCGTTCGGTAGTCTGACCCTGTTCACCAACACACGTAAACCAAGTACCTGCAACCCTGCAGGACCTCAAACGCAGCACTCGGCGAACCAAACTCGAAACAAGGAGACCGTCTTCTGAAAGAATGTACAGCACGGAAGCACAGAGATAACGGAGATAACAGTGCAAGGCGATCAGCGAATACCCCGTGCGCGCGCTGTCACAGTGTTTCAAGACGACATATTCCTTAGTTGGCAAAAGTACGTGACTTTTTGCAAGGGCCGTGGGAGGCGGGGGGGGGGGGCATGTCGACCGTGACAGTCGGATTGTTCGAGACTTTAGATAAAGGCTGTGGTTTTGTTCAGCTCAGCGCAATACACTGAGGCTAGTATTGCATCAGACAACGTCGGCAAGTAGATGATAAAGGTGCTATGTAGGGCTGGTTTGCTCCATAAGACGGAAATGACCTCTGCCGCTGCTGCATCATCTGCTTCTGCAACTGCTTTCACCTCCGGGCCTGATCACAAAGCAGCAGCATTCTGACGTGCCAGACGCGTGTAATGTTGTACGTAATTTGTGGAGAGAGCCGAGCAGAGCAAATTGTTGAACCGAAATAAATAGGAAAAACAGTGTTTTCTCCCTGGATTTCAGCCAAATTTCTTCAAACAGATGGGTGGAGGTGCTCTTATTCCATCGAACTGCATGGGAAACTACACTCCTGGTTCAAAACGAAAAATACTAAGATCAGTAGAAGTGTAGGTGGGTATCACAATGCCCCAGCATCTGTCCCTTAGCTCTGATAATGATGCAACAGGCGCACAACATTCGAAGTATCCGTTTTTACCAGCCCCGTGTGAGGTTCATATCTTCTTCCAGACTAAGGCTGCCAGTATAAGACAACTTTCTATTCGCTCCATACCTCTAAAAAGTACAGCATGTGGGAGAAAGGAAGCACTTACACAGTAAGCTAAAAACTCAGAGTTACAAGCAACCGATCAACTGTCTTTGTGAATAACCACCTGAGACCAGCTGCTGCGTGGGATTTTCTTCAACTGCCGCTAAAGAATGTCCTACAGTACCAGTTTTGTGCTCATTTGTTCTGGGCCGACATTGCAGTGACATTGATTTGCGTTATTGCATAACCTGAGGTCTGTCACAGCACATATCATCGTTAATAAGCCCAACAGTGGCCATCGATCGGCGTGAAAGTCTGATTGCTGTCAGAATGCCAAGTAGGTGCTTTGTACTGCAAGGAAGCGACAGTTAACAAGACAGCAAGATGCAGGTAGTCTCTTTGTGGAGGCCGTCAGTTCGACATGTTTTGCCGGTTCGTTTGGCTGTCCTCATCAATAGCCCACGCAGTTGGCAACGCGGCGTTTCGCTGCATCGATCCAGTGTATCTGTTTTCCTTGGGAATTACGGATGAATTGAGCATTGATATCAATTTAGCGATATTCTGGATTAATAGAAGACTAGTGGAGATCGAGTTTATTATCAGGCTTATTGTGCGGCCTAGCCATCGCAGCTTGGGCGTTCCTGACATTCCACCGGTTCATTTGACTGGTGGAAAAAGGATATCCCATAAGCATAGCCGGGCCAGCGGTCGTCGGGAGTCGCAGAAAAAGACTGCCTGAGTTTAGCGAGACGGCCGCAGGCTGAGGTACGGCACAGTCACTGGGTTGGGGCATGGGAGCACCAAGAGAACGGCGCTCTTGAATCAAAATTATTTGAACCACTCGGGTTATGTTCTGTCATTGCCACCCAGACCCGATTCCGTAACTTCTATAGTGAGAGTCAAGGTTCCACTGGTACATTTGCCTTAGAGTTGCTTATACTACTAATGTTCTACATTGCATCGCCCGGGGTCGTAATAATCGAGAGACATGTGCATGCCCTGAAAGTAAATATGAGTGGAAGGGGTTGGAAGCTCTGTATTCCTTTCATAGATCGCAGAGACATTTTATGCACAAAAAAGCATATTTTTTCTCCATGCTTCTCGTCATGAAAATCAGTAACTTCGTGGCCTAAGGAATCCCTCCCCCGAAGAGAATCAAGTCTGGAACTGAACCACCTCCATCAAGTCACCCGACACTTGGGAGCTAATGGCATTGGTTAAAGTCATCAGACGGGCACCGGCGCCATCGTACATGAAGTCGAGGAGGATTGCCGAATAGCCCGTATTGCAGCACGTGACAGCGATCTGTTGTGTTATCTTTGATTATCTTTTAACGGTATAAATTTACACACATTATGTATGCGATGATGGAGGATTTAGATCAACAGCAGATTTGTCAACATCAGCTTTATTCGTAGGCATATTGTACTGTATAATTATCACGACTCGTTCGCGTTTTGGCGCTGCAAAGAATTGAAAAGAAACACGCATTACTGTTCAATAAACCGTCTTAATGTCTCAACCAGGTCAAAAACGGTTTGGTCTTAGTGGACCTTACATTGGTGCATATTCAACAGGGCGGAATACGTTTTTAAGACATCCCAGTATAACCTGCGTACACGACATCAGAGCGACAGCAATTACAGATAAATGATCAAAGCGTCTACAATTATGTAATGTAGACTGTGGCGCAAATCAAGCAAATGGGAACAGGATCCTGGTGAAAACGCATAACTTATGCTGTTGAAGGACCCGTGTAAAACATGACGCTGAGCGAGCCTTGGTGACCTGATCCTATTTTTTTTAAGGCATGTCCCCATAATTATCTGGCAACATAGATGAAGCACATCATTTCCATTTCATACATGTGTATGCATGCAAGAGTCGTTGTAAATTCCAGCATGTGTGGTGCAACATATTTTTCTTGAAACCTTCGATCTTACGAAAACCGGCTTTCTCTTATGTGGATCGGTGATTTATATATATATATATATATATATATATATATATATATATATATATATATATATATATACATATATGGAAATATATATGCACACATACACACACACACACACACACACACACACACACACACACACACACACACACACATATATATATATATATATATATATATATATATATATATATATATATATATATATGTGTGTGTGTGTGTGTGTGTGTGTGTGTGCGTGTGCGTGTGCGTGTGCGTGTGCGTGTGCGTGTGCGTGTGCGTGTGCGTGTGCGTGTGCGTGTGCGTGTGCGTGTGCGTGTGCGTGTGCGTGTGCGTGTGCGTGTGCGTGTGCGTGTGTGTATCTTGAATCTCCAAATGTACGCAACGTTTCGTGCGACAAAGGGCAATTACAGTTTGGCATCATATTGAAATAACATTATCTAGCATCCGCTATATACTATATCTACACTTGGTTATACAGTCCTTGATACTCTGCAGCACACTACACAACTTTCAGCTGCAAAGCCCGGCAAAAACCTTAACACCATGAAGGTTTCACGTGCATGACACCACGACACAAACAACGCAGCCCGCTATAAAATCGCATGCATTGTCCAACAGCCGCCCATCTACTTTTATGGCACGTTGAGCTTGTTTGACGAACGACACAGAAGTGTTTTGTTTTTGTGTGGTGATGCAGCCGGTGAGCTATGATGCGATGCCCTGGTGATGCAACCGGTGAGCTATGATGCGATGCCCTGGTGATGCAACCGGTGAGCTATGATGCGATGCCCTGGTGATGCAACCGAACTTTGCATTAAACGTGCTCTGGGTATGGCTGCTTGAATCTGAAGTGTAAATTAAATTTTCAATACTAGGCACCATGCACATGCTTCAGGTTCGTTTCTGCTCCTGGCGGGGCCACCTGTTGCCTGGTCGGGAACAGCTGTCTCCCAGTGCCGGGCCGGCTCGCCGTGTTCTTCGGCCGCCCGGTGTCCTCATCTCGTTTAGTAGCATTTCTCCTGTGTGGAGGTCCGGGCCGCCTATTCTGTGGCTGCCTGTTATGTGGTTGAACGGCCACCCAACCTCAGCCTGTCTT